CAAGAAATGCTTACATAGAATTCATATTTAATATTACATGAATTATTTATAACTTAATAAAGTTAAATTTAATTTAAACAAATAACAACTAAATGCATTTCTAATTACTATTATCAAATATTTATAGTATAAGTACATCTCAACTCGCGAAACCCGCAGGTCACTCCTCCTTGACCCGTAAACTGTCCGCTCGGGTCACGGGTCGGCCCGCGGTCCCGGCTCGATCCAAGCCGATTTTCACGGGTCTGGCCGGCCCGTCCGTTTTGACACCTCTAACTTGATGGTTCGAGTATAGTTGGACACATTTTGTGATGTGATCAAAATATATCGTTCTCAATCGATACGTAAAGTGAACGCTTTATATTGACAAGATTAAATTGTTCTTATTGAGATTTGTCTAAATCTTGAGAATAAGAACAATGAAGTGTTTAGTGCATATTGAATGAGACCGCGTAGATGACTCATTTTTTACCGCTAGGAATGAGATTCTACTCGATCATCGAACGAGTAATGCACTTTTCATTGTTAGTTCAAATTTTTTAAGGTATTAATGAGTGAAGTCTTAATTAGAAGAATGATCTCGGTACTTTGGGAATCGAGACGAAACAATTAGAGATCATATACTTGAAATAATGGAATCCGTTAATCATCACAATCATAATTTGCTTCCATAATTATCACTCAATTTGATTGTGCAATTTTTATTTTTATAATAAGCCAAGATTAATAAATGTATTTTAATTGGTCAAAAGTTGACCGAATTAGAAACAATTATTGGAGTTTGGTTTTGTAAGTCCAGCTAGGTCCCCCTTTTAGCTCTAATATATGTATGAAACTTAATTTGCTTACTAAGATAAAGTCCAACCGAAATAGTGCAATTATAAAACCCTAATTGAGTATTATAAATATACCATGCGTGGGCACATTTTCTCAAGATTAAGGTTAGCCACATTCTCTTATTTTCTAAAAAAGGTGGAGAACAAGAGAGAAGATTTTAAGAGGAAGCTTTGGCTAGAAAGTTGGAAGGCCATTAAAGCCCCTTCAAGGTTACAATCTTATCCTTCTGTGTGATGATTTTAATAACAAATCCAATGATCTTAAGGTGATTTAAGATCCATCATTCATTTGGATTTAATCTTCAATGGGAAAAATAGTCTTCTTATGATGATTAAATCCAATAACCAACATTGATATCCCTTTAACACGATTTAAATAAACTTATATTGATTTGATACTTGAATGATTAGTGAGTGTTAGATATTTTTCATCTTTTGCGTGTTTATATTTTGTTTTGCGAATGTTTTGCCGCCCCGACTAATATTTGCCGCTACGCAACGGGGATCGACCTGTTCAAAAGGTTGCTTCCAACATATGCGTCCATTCATTTCAAGTAACACACCTATTCAAAAGGTTGCCTCCATTTCTA